CATGTTGACCAGGATGGTCTCGATCTGTTGACCTCGTGATCCACCCGCCTCGGCCTCCCAAAGTGCTGGGATTACAGGCGTGAGCCACCGCGCCCGGCCCAGGTTTTGCTTTTAAGCAAGCAAACTAGCTGTGTTTTCTTTAAAGTTAATTGTGTCTCACTACTGAGGCAGGTCCCTTTGTGTACTCTACTCAGTGCCCTGTGAATTACGAAGTTTTCCGGTCTAACCGGTAAGAAGAGGTACCGTTCCCTGCTCTGTGTGAAGTTGGATACTGTTCCTTCTCATCCTTTCTGGTAATTCTTTCTCTGGCATTGGGTAGTTTACCCACATGCATGTGCTGACCAGTACTCTGCTGTATACTTGAGGGGGGGCCTCTACAGATCTCTGGAGTCCCCGCTTATGTAGCTCTCTCACCTGCAGTATTGTGTCCTGCAAACTGGCTTCTTTGTCTCCTTGGACTCTTAGTTCCATCTCTTCAACTGAGAGAGTCTGCTGGGCTCTGCCTGGATTTCCCCTCCCTGCGCCACAGAGGGAACGCCCTCAAGGCAGTAAGTTGGAGTGTTGTAGGGTTCTCCTCATTTGTCAGCTGTTGCTCCGACATCACTATCCTCTGGTACCTGATAACTAATTTCCTGAAACTGTTGTTTCATATATATTATCTGTTTATTTGGTTGTTTCAGTAGGGAAGCTAAATCTGGTTCCTGTTACTCCATCTTGGCCAGAAGCAGAATTTCCAGAGAATGTTTTTGAATCTCTGAATGAATCCACAGAGCTCTATGGCCCCAGTGTGAGGTAGATCAGTAGGGTAACTGTAGTTTATAATAAGCTATTGTATATTTCAAAATAGCTAGAAGAGAAGAATTTGAATGATTCTAGCATGAAGAAAAGACAAATATTTAAGGTGATGGATATCCCAATTACACCAATCTGATCTTTACAGATTGCATGAATATATTGATTATCACATGTGCTCTGAATACCTGTTATGCATCAGCAACAACAAAAAGCTCTACAGGAATATTCTTTGAGATCTTATACAAATGCGCATACCTTAGGAAGCCCCTAAATCTTCCCAACTTTGAAGTCAGTTGGCCACTGACACACCAGTGACATGCTGCTGGCACGCAGAGCTCATCACACAGCCAGTGGTTCCCTAACCACATGGTGAGCTTTCCTGAGGGCTGCAGGACTCATTGGTTTCTGCTGGCTGGTGCCTGGCATAAAGTCTGGCAGCTGGTGTTGAGCTGATAAGAGTTAGAGGGCAGGAGGCATTACTACAGAGGTGAATGGAGATGGCTAAACAGATGTATGAGAGTGCCTGGGACTCTTCCCTTATCTGAGCGTTGTGCCCAAGTCCCACCTTCTGGCTCCAAAGTGGGAGACAGTTCTTTTCTTTTTCCTCCTGTTGCTGCCACTGCACTGTTGAGCCTGTCTCCCAGCAATCCCAAGGGCAGCGGCCCAAAGGTGGCAGGCAGGAGAGCAGAGTCCAGCTGTCAGAGGCCACCTCAGGAAGGAGCTGCTGTGTGGCTTGAGTAGTGTTCTTTAGGCAGTGTGGCTCAGCATCCCTGAGGTATGATGGCAGGGAGCCTACGGCTTGTTCTGGAGTAGCAGCCAGAAGACTTTGCTCCTAGACTGGGCTCTGCTGCTTACCAGCTGTCTGCCTTCGGACACTCTGCTGAGCCTCTCTGTGCCTTGCTTGGTTACCTGTTCAGTGGGCTTGATAACCCTTGTCTTCCCCATCTCACAGAACTGTTACAGTGTATGCAAAGATGCTTTACCCTAGTAGAATCTTGCATAAAACCATTATCATTTTCTTAGAAATTATCAAACAAATGAAAATCTTATCAAAAAATGAAAGTTTTTATATTCTATTTTCCTAATTAGATGTCTGAACTGGAATGTTTTCAGTTATAATCTGCATGGCAAGCAGCAAGTTTATGGCAGAGCTGTGTGTTTGTATATTTATTTCACATTCTTTTTTTTTTTTAGTTAGTTTGCTAGTTACCTATCACCTGGATGTTTGTTTATTTTTTGAGACAGAGTCTTGCTCTGTCACCCAGACTGGAGTGCAGTGGCATGATCTCGGCTCTCTGCAACCTCCGCCTCCTAGGATCAAGCAATTCTCTTGCCTCAGTCTCCCTAGAAGCTGAGATTACAGGTGCCGACCACTATGTCTGGCTAATTTTTATATTTTTTAGTAGAGATGGGGTTTTGCCATGTTGGCCAGCCTAGTCTCAAACTCCTGACCTCAAGTGATCTGCCTTGGTGTCCCAAAGTGCTGGGATTACAGGTGTGAACCACCACACCTGGCCCTATTTGACATTCATTAATCTATTAATAGTATCCGCTTGTGACCTTCCTAACCTGGGAGATGGTGAGTAGCTCTTTGATAGTTTAATGAAAGGAGACCTTTTTGTCTCCAAGGGGAAAATTTCGTGTTGGAGGGGAACATTTGGGGTTCATTTGTTTTGAAGTCAAATATGACTCAATGTGCTGGCATGTTTTGGTTGCAGAAGAAAGTGGTCACATATGGTCGGAGGAGCAGCCGGCTCACCCTCTCCAGGTCGGGGCTGTGTACCTGGGTGAGGAGGAGCTCCCACATGACCCGATGGGCCAGGACAGGGCAGCAGAAGAGGCTGATGCGGTGCTGGGGCTGGATACCCAAGGCGATCACATGGTGATGCTGTCTGTGATTCCTGGGGAAGCTGAGGACAAAGTGAGTTCAGAGCCTAGTGGCGGCACCTGTAGCGCTGGAGGAGAGGAGGACTCAAAGTGCACCCTCCGAGAGAGCCTTTTCTCTCTGGATAGTGCTGGATCACGCTTCCCTGATAGAGAAGAGGAGTATTACACGGAGCCAGAAGTGGCGGAATCCGATGCAGCCCCGACAGAGGACTCCAATAGCACTGAAAGTCTGAAATCCCCAAAAGTGAACTGTGAGGAGAGAAACATTACGGGATTAGAAAATTTCACTCTGAAAATTTTAAATATGTCACAGGTAAGGAAAAAATATTTAGTGTTTTTTTCCTTTTCTGTACATTCATTTTATGATTAATACTCTATCAACTTTGAAATGGAAAGTCATAACCTTTATCATATTGTAAGCGAGATGGCGTGTAATAGCTGCTTCAGTGAACATTGACTTTGTCCTCTGTGATGTTTATAGGGAAAGGAGGAAATATAACTAGTGTTGATTATGCTCTTCAGGTGGCCTAAACCTAGTTAGTCTTCCTTGGGCCAATCCCACTACCAAACCTCATTTTTTTTTTTTTTTTTTTTTTTTGAGACGGAGTTTTGCTGTTGTTGCCCAGGCTGGAGTGCAATGGTGCGATCTCGGCTCACCGCAACCTCTGCCTCCTGGTTTCAAGCAATTCTCCGGCCTCAGCCTCCCGAGTAGCTGGGACTACAGGCATGCACCATCATGCTCAGCTAATTTTTGTATTTTTAGTAGAGACGGGGTTTCACCATGTTGACCAGGATGGTCTCGATCTCTTGACCTCGTGATCCACCCGCCTCGGCCTCCCAAAGTGCTGGGATTACAGGCTTGAGCCACCGCGCCCGGCCCCCAAACCTCATGATAAAAATCCCAATGGACAGATAGTTGCTATCATAGAATTTTTTTTTTTTGAAATGGAGTTTTGCCCTTGTCCCCTAGGCTGGAGTGCAGTGGCGTGATCTTGGCTCACTGCAACCTCGGCCTCCTGAGTTCAAATGATTTTCCTGCCTCAGCCTCCTGAGAAGCTGGGATTACAGGCACTCGCCACTGCAAGTGGCTGATTTGGTATTTTTAATAGAAATGGGTTTTCATCATGCTGGCCAGGCCAGTCTTGAACTCCTAACTTTGGGTGATTCACCCACTTCGGCATCCCAAAGTGCTGGGATTACAAGTGTGAGCCACCACTGATGAAAAGTTTCTCTTTCATCAGTGACTGTGGGGTGGTTGAGAAAACAAAAGTGTAGGATGCATTCATGCTGCTTATTAAGAGAAGTAAATCCTGACTCTGAGAACTGTGATTGCTTGTTGTCAATGAGGGCACAGCACCTGTAATGCGTATAGCTCCTCCAAGGGCAGGGCTCAGTGCTGGCTCTGCATCCACTCCTGAGTCTAAGTTATGGATTAAACAGGTGGTAGTAGGAATGGTGTGTTCTTTTTTTTTTTTTTTTTTGAGACAGAAGTCTTACTCTGTAGGCCAGGCTGGAGTGCAGTGGCATGATCTGGGTTCACTACAATCTCTGCCTCCCAGATTCAAGTGGTTCTTCTCTCTCAGCCCCCTGTATAGCTGGGATTGCAGGCACATGCTACCACACCTGGCTAATTTTTGTATTTTTAGTGGAAAGGGGGTTTTATCATGTAGGCCAGGCTGGTCTTGAACTCTCCCGACCTCAAGTGATTCACCCGCCTTGGTCTTCCAAAGTGTTGGGATTACAGACGTGAGACACTGTGCCTAGCTAGGATGGTGTACTTTTAAATTAATCTAACCTTTGGCCAAATACATTGATATGACTGCTTAGTTCAGAGCTGAGATGATAGTTTGGATTTGAGATCATAGTCCTCTAATATTTCCATGTTAGATGGTTTGAGATGTACAGTTCAAAGGTGGGGACAATTGCCTGGACTCTGTGAGGACTTAGTACAGGCATACCTCAGAAACACTATGGGTTTGGCTCCAGACCACTGTGATAAAACAAATAACGCAGTGTAGCAAGTCACAGGAATTTTCTGGTTTTCCAGTGCATACAGAAGTTATACTATATTGTAGTTTATTAAGTATGCAGTAGCAATATGTCTAAAAAATGTATATACCTTAATTTACAAATACTTCATTGCTAAAAAATGCTAACAATCATCTGAGCCTTCAATGAGCTGTAATCTTTTTGCTGGTCGAGGGTCTTGGCTTGATGTTGATGGCTACTGACTGATCAGGATGGTAGTTTCTGAGAGCTGGGGTGGCTATGGCAATTTCTTTGAGACAGAGTATCGTTCTGTCACCCAGGCTGGAAAGCAGTGGTGAGACCATGGCTCACTACAGTCTTGACCTCCCCAGTTCAAGTGATCCTCCCAGCTCAGCCTCCCAACTAGCACTACAGGCATATGCCACCACACCTGGATAATTATTATTATTATTATTTTTCATAGAGATGATGTCTTACTATGTTGCATAGGCTGGTCTCGAACTTCTGAGCTCAAGTGATCTTCCCGTCTTGGCCTCCCAAAGTATTGTAATTAGAGGTGTGAACCACCACGCCTGGCCCACACAGTTTTTTTCTTTTTCTCTTTTTTTTTGAGATGGAGTCTCACTCTGTCACCCAGGTGGAGTGGAGTGGCATGATCTTGGCTCGCTACAAC